GGGCGGGAGGACCGAGCCCGGCTGCTCCGTCTCAGCAGCAGCGCGTGCCAGCGGGAGGCTCCTCTCGGTGCCACCTCGCGACGTGACGCCGGGCCTGGCTGGGGACATGCGCTGCAAGGAGGCGTTAGTCACGCTGCTGTCAGACCGCCGCTGGCTCCTCTGTATTGCTGCAGGGATTATTTCATTGGGGCTTAGAAACATCTTAGGAAATTTCAGTGTTCTTTTGTTTTTTTTCTTCCTCTAGGATCAAAGTCGGATCTGCAGAGGAATTGATCCAGCTGAGCTTGACACTAGGTTTTGTAATAAGTGCATCTGTTGTCACTTACACTGCCAGCATGACCAGCAAGGATTTAATTGAGGATTTGACTGATGTGAAGCCAGAACTGGTCTTGGGGCACTGTTTCAAGCAGCAACGGCTGAGAAATATGTATCCACATTTTTTCATTAAGTTGAAAGCAAGTAGGTTTGGGCCACCCAGATCCAGACGCCGCATTATTTTTGCCCCACCTGTGGCAGGAGCAGCTTCTCCCCTTCCCCGGCCAGCTCCTGCCCCGGGTTTCCATCACGCAACTGTCCCGCAGCCTCCTCCGGAGGGAGAAGATAGCTTGTGCTCTCCAAGGATCACTCCCAGTGCAGAAGATGGTCTGCAAAAGCTGGAGACTTGGATTACGGAAAGGAAGCAATTCCGATCTCAGCTGGAAAGCCTCGTGGATGTGAAAAGATGGCTGATGCAAAAGCCTTCCCACAGCGATCAAGAGGAGAGAGTCTGGAGGAGAGTGAAGGGCCGCGGAGCGGGCGCAAGGGCTGGCGCCCGGCCGTCCCGCGGCGCGGAGGTGCGTGCGCGTGGCTCTGCGCTTTGGCACGGCCGCTGGCGCGGCAGTCCCGGACAAGGCTGATGCCAGGGTTATTCTCCAATGTTTTCCAGCGCCTGCCGCCAGGGAGCAGCCAGCCGTGGTGCTGGGAAAGCGCTCCGCTCATCCGCATGCCGTATCCACAGGCTCTCATCACACTGCAAAACCTCCTGCACAGGCACAGCTTCAAGATGGTGGACCTGTTCAGGAAGGCTGATGTGTACAGGGGGAAAATCTCCAGGGAAAAGTTCATTAAAGTCATCAAGGAGGTACGTAGGGAGCAGAGAAGTAATGAACAGCAGCAGCTCTCCCTTGTTTTTCCACATGTAAACCCGGAGCAGTTCCAGTGGAGCGGGTGGTAGAGCTTCCGCGAGGAGCCTTCTCTGGGGAATTGCTCCCACAGCCTGTGAAAAGCCCCCAGGGAAGCGGAGGGAAAGGTGCGGAGCAGCTGGAGGTAACCCCGGGCGAGCCCCAGGACGGAGGGAACCGTCTGCCCCGGCGCCCTGAGCTGCCACCAGCCATGACGCGTCCCGTGAGCTTCCCGCTCCGGGCCCCGGTATTTCCCATGGGAGGCAGTGCTTCGGCTGGCGCCCG